GTGTGCACACATCTCAGCGTGCGGCCAAGCGGTGCAGCGAGGGCGTGGACAGCGGCGAGTGCGCGCAGCACGTCGTCGTAGGTGCTTGTGCACTCGCTGCCGCTGCTGCGGCCTGCCGCCACTCGCTTTGCCTTTTCTCTTGCTATTCCTTTTTTTTTGTTGTTTTCGAATCTCATTCGTCCTACTCTCTCTCTCCGCTTCGTCCGACTCTTCCCGCTTCTGCTTTTGATGGAGCCGAGCCTCCCCTTTGGTGCCCCCGGTGCGGAGCCGTGCGGTCGGTGTGTGTCACGGCGGTCGCACGCGGAGAGCGGAGCAGACGTTGCAGGAACCGTGTTTTCTCGTTTTTCTTTTCTCGCTGTGCACATGTCTTTTTGCTTTACTACGTCGCTACGTATTGTACGATGCCGCGTTGCGGCTGCGGTACTCCAACTGCATCAGTGGTGGCGACGGGACGAACTCTTCTCGTCTGTGGTGGAGCGTCTGCTCTTGCTGCTGCTGCTGCTGCTGCTGCCCGCCACTGCTTCTGCAGCACGGCGGCCAGCTGCCCCCTCGCACTGCCCCTGCGCGGTGCCTCTGCCGGAGCAGCGTGGGTGCTGCCTCTCCTGCACCGCGTTCTCCCTCCCTCCCCGTCTTTGTGCGTGTCCACCTCCCCCACCGCCCCCCTCGTCTTCTCTCCCTCCATCCCCCTCTCTTGCGCCTGCACTGCCGCGGCGGCACACCGCACCACACAGATCTGCTCTCCAGCCTCCGCACCCACCAAACTCTCTCTCATCAACCCCCCCCTACCCTACCCGACCCTCCCCCATACCGCCATGTCCGCCTACGTGTCGTCGACCCGCGTGGAGGAGCGCATCGCGAAGCGCGCGAGCCTGAACGCCGGGAGCTGCGACGTGCCCGTTGTGGTGGAGAGCGCGCAGGGCGGCAAGGCGCACTTCAGCGTGCTGCCGCGCGACGCGACGGTTGCGCAGCTGACGAGCGCGGTGCGCCGCCTCGACGGCGTCGACGCGAGGAAGGCGGTGTCGCTTGCGGTGGCGCAGTGCGCCGTTGCGCCGACGACGACGCTTGGCGAGCTGCACGACGCGTGCAAGCAGGCGGACGACGGCATGCTGTACGTCACCTACACCGCCGAGGCCGCCATGGGTGCCACCGTGAACGTGTGCGGCATGACTGCTGCCTGGTAGTGCGCCGTGGACAGTTGACGGCTGTGGAGCGCCCGTCGCAACCTAAAGCAACGCGTGCAAAGCCATCCCCTCCCGTCTCCTCGTGAGCGGCTCTCTGCGCCACCGTCATGTGTATTTCTTGTTTGCCGGATTGCCGATTTCCCTTAATGTGACGTGGTGGGGGGTGCTGCTCGTACCCACCCGCAGGCGTGTACGTAGCTGCGTTCTGAACAGAAGTGTGCACACATCTCAGCGTGCGGCCAAGCGGTGCAGCGAGGGCGTGGACAGCGGCGAGTGCGCGCAGCACGTCGTCGTAGGTGCTTGTGCACTCGCTGCCGCTGCTGCGGCCTGCCGCCACTCGCTTTGCCTTTTCTCTTGCTATTCCTTTTTTTTTGTTGTTTTCGAATCTCATTCGTCCTACTCTCTCTCTCCGCTTCGTCCGACTCTTCCCGCTTCTGCTTTTGATGGAGCCGAGCCTCCCCTTTGGTGCCCCCGGTGCGGAGCCGTGCGGTCGGTGTGTGTCACGGCGGTCGCACGCGGAGAGCGGAGCAGACGTTGCAGGAACCGTGTTTTCTCGTTTTTCTTTTCTCGCTGTGCACATGTCTTTTTGCTTTACTACGTCGCTACGTATTGTACGATGCCGCGTTGCGGCTGCGGTACTCCAACTGCATCAGTGGTGGCGACGGGACGAACTCTTCTCGTCTGTGGTGGAGCGTCTGCTCTTGCTGCTGCTGCTGCTGCTGCTGCCCGCCACTGCTTCTGCAGCACGGCGGCCAGCTGCCCCCTCGCACTGCCCCTGCGCGGTGCCTCTGCCGGAGCAGCGTGGGTGCTGCCTCTCCTGCACCGCGTTCTCCCTCCCTCCCCGTCTTTGTGCGTGTCCACCTCCCCCACCGCCCCCCTCGTCTTCTCTCCCTCCATCCCCCTCTCTTGCGCCTGCACTGCCGCGGCGGCACACCGCACCACACAGATCTGCTCTCCAGCCTCCGCACCCACCAAACTCTCTCTCATCAACCCCCCCCTACCCTACCCGACCCTCCCCCATACCGCCATGTCCGCCTACGTGTCGTCGACCCGCGTGGAGGAGCGCATCGCGAAGCGCGCGAGCCTGAACGCCGGGAGCTGCGACGTGCCCGTTGTGGTGGAGAGCGCGCAGGGCGGCAAGGCGCACTTCAGCGTGCTGCCGCGCGACGCGACGGTTGCGCAGCTGACGAGCGCGGTGCGCCGCCTCGACGGCGTCGACGCGAGGAAGGCGGTGTCGCTTGCGGTGGCGCAGTGCGCCGTTGCGCCGACGACGACGCTTGGCGAGCTGCACGACGCGTGCAAGCAGGCGGACGACGGCATGCTGTACGTCACCTACACCGCCGAGGCCGCCATGGGTGCCACCGTGAACGTGTGCGGCATGACTGCTGCCTGGTAGTGCGCCGTGGACAGTTGACGGCTGTGGAGCGCCCGTCGCAACCTAAAGCAACGCGTGCAAAGCCATCCCCTCCCGTCTCCTCGTGAGCGGCTCTCTGCGCCACCGTCATGTGTATTTCTTGTTTGCCGGATTGCCGATTTCCCTTAATGTGACGTGGTGGGGGGTGCTGCTCGTACCCACCCGCAGGCGTGTACGTAGCTGCGTTCTGAACAGAAGTGTGCACACATCTCAGCGTGCGGCCAAGCGGTGCAGCGAGGGCGTGGACAGCGGCGAGTGCGCGCAGCACGTCGTCGTAGGTGCTTGTGCACTCGCTGCCGCTGCTGCGGCCTGCCGCCACTCGCTTTGCCTTTTCTCTTGCTATTCCTTTTTTTTTGTTGTTTTCGAATCTCATTCGTCCTACTCTCTCTCTCCGCTTCGTCCGACTCTTCCCGCTTCTGCTTTTGATGGAGCCGAGCCTCCCCTTTGGTGCCCCCGGTGCGGAGCCGTGCGGTCGGTGTGTGTCACGGCGGTCGCACGCGGAGAGCGGAGCAGACGTTGCAGGAACCGTGTTTTCTCGTTTTTCTTTTCTCGCTGTGCACATGTCTTTTTGCTTTACTACGTCGCTACGTATTGTACGATGCCGCGTTGCGGCTGCGGTACTCCAACTGCATCAGTGGTGGCGACGGGACGAACTCTTCTCGTCTGTGGTGGAGCGTCTGCTCTTGCTGCTGCTGCTGCTGCTGCTGCCCGCCACTGCTTCTGCAGCACGGCGGCCAGCTGCCCCCTCGCACTGCCCCTGCGCGGTGCCTCTGCCGGAGCAGCGTGGGTGCTGCCTCTCCTGCACCGCGTTCTCCCTCCCTCCCCGTCTTTGTGCGTGTCCACCTCCCCCACCGCCCCCCTCGTCTTCTCTCCCTCCATCCCCCTCTCTTGCGCCTGCACTGCCGCGGCGGCACACCGCACCACACAGATCTGCTCTCCAGCCTCCGCACCCACCAAACTCTCTCTCATCAACCCCCCCCTACCCTACCCGACCCTCCCCCATACCGCCATGTCCGCCTACGTGTCGTCGACCCGCGTGGAGGAGCGCATCGCGAAGCGCGCGAGCCTGAACGCCGGGAGCTGCGACGTGCCCGTTGTGGTGGAGAGCGCGCAGGGCGGCAAGGCGCACTTCAGCGTGCTGCCGCGCGACGCGACGGTTGCGCAGCTGACGAGCGCGGTGCGCCGCCTCGACGGCGTCGACGCGAGGAAGGCGGTGTCGCTTGCGGTGGCGCAGTGCGCCGTTGCGCCGACGACGACGCTTGGCGAGCTGCACGACGCGTGCAAGCAGGCGGACGACGGCATGCTGTACGTCACCTACACCGCCGAGGCCGCCATGGGTGCCACCGTGAACGTGTGCGGCATGACTGCTGCCTGGTAGTGCGCCGTGGACAGTTGACGGCTGTGGAGCGCCCGTCGCAACCTAAAGCAACGCGTGCAAAGCCATCCCCTCCCGTCTCCTCGTGAGCGGCTCTCTGCGCCACCGTCATGTGTATTTCTTGTTTGCCGGATTGCCGATTTCCCTTAATGTGACGTGGTGGGGGGTGCTGCTCGTACCCACCCGCAGGCGTGTACGTAGCTGCGTTCTGAACAGAAGTGTGCACACATCTCAGCGTGCGGCCAAGCGGTGCAGCGAGGGCGTGGACAGCGGCGAGTGCGCGCAGCACGTCGTCGTAGGTGCTTGTGCACTCGCTGCCGCTGCTGCGGCCTGCCGCCACTCGCTTTGCCTTTTCTCTTGCTATTCCTTTTTTTTTGTTGTTTTCGAATCTCATTCGTCCTACTCTCTCTCTCCGCTTCGTCCGACTCTTCCCGCTTCTGCTTTTGATGGAGCCGAGCCTCCCCTTTGGTGCCCCCGGTGCGGAGCCGTGCGGTCGGTGTGTGTCACGGCGGTCGCACGCGGAGAGCGGAGCAGACGTTGCAGGAACCGTGTTTTCTCGTTTTTCTTTTCTCGCTGTGCACATGTCTTTTTGCTTTACTACGTCGCTACGTATTGTACGATGCCGCGTTGCGGCTGCGGTACTCCAACTGCATCAGTGGTGGCGACGGGACGAACTCTTCTCGTCTGTGGTGGAGCGTCTGCTCTTGCTGCTGCTGCTGCTGCTGCTGCCCGCCACTGCTTCTGCAGCACGGCGGCCAGCTGCCCCCTCGCACTGCCCCTGCGCGGTGCCTCTGCCGGAGCAGCGTGGGTGCTGCCTCTCCTGCACCGCGTTCTCCCTCCCTCCCCGTCTTTGTGCGTGTCCACCTCCCCCACCGCCCCCCTCGTCTTCTCTCCCTCCATCCCCCTCTCTTGCGCCTGCACTGCCGCGGCGGCACACCGCACCACACAGATCTGCTCTCCAGCCTCCGCACCCACCAAACTCTCTCTCATCAACCCCCCCCTACCCTACCCGACCCTCCCCCATACCGCCATGTCCGCCTACGTGTCGTCGACCCGCGTGGAGGAGCGCATCGCGAAGCGCGCGAGCCTGAACGCCGGGAGCTGCGACGTGCCCGTTGTGGTGGAGAGCGCGCAGGGCGGCAAGGCGCACTTCAGCGTGCTGCCGCGCGACGCGACGGTTGCGCAGCTGACGAGCGCGGTGCGCCGCCTCGACGGCGTCGACGCGAGGAAGGCGGTGTCGCTTGCGGTGGCGCAGTGCGCCGTTGCGCCGACGACGACGCTTGGCGAGCTGCACGACGCGTGCAAGCAGGCGGACGACGGCATGCTGTACGTCACCTACACCGCCGAGGCCGCCATGGGTGCCACCGTGAACGTGTGCGGCATGACTGCTGCCTGGTAGTGCGCCGTGGACAGTTGACGGCTGTGGAGCGCCCGTCGCAACCTAAAGCAACGCGTGCAAAGCCATCCCCTCCCGTCTCCTCGTGAGCGGCTCTCTGCGCCACCGTCATGTGTATTTCTTGTTTGCCGGATTGCCGATTTCCCTTAATGTGACGTGGTGGGGGGTGCTGCTCGTACCCACCCGCAGGCGTGTACGTAGCTGCGTTCTGAACAGAAGTGTGCACACATCTCAGCGTGCGGCCAAGCGGTGCAGCGAGGGCGTGGACAGCGGCGAGTGCGCGCAGCACGTCGTCGTAGGTGCTTGTGCACTCGCTGCCGCTGCTGCGGCCTGCCGCCACTCGCTTTGCCTTTTCTCTTGCTATTCCTTTTTTTTTGTTGTTTTCGAATCTCATTCGTCCTACTCTCTCTCTCCGCTTCGTCCGACTCTTCCCGCTTCTGCTTTTGATGGAGCCGAGCCTCCCCTTTGGTGCCCCCGGTGCGGAGCCGTGCGGTCGGTGTGTGTCACGGCGGTCGCACGCGGAGAGCGGAGCAGACGTTGCAGGAACCGTGTTTTCTCGTTTTTCTTTTCTCGCTGTGCACATGTCTTTTTGCTTTACTACGTCGCTACGTATTGTACGATGCCGCGTTGCGGCTGCGGTACTCCAACTGCATCAGTGGTGGCGACGGGACGAACTCTTCTCGTCTGTGGTGGAGCGTCTGCTCTTGCTGCTGCTGCTGCTGCTGCTGCCCGCCACTGCTTCTGCAGCACGGCGGCCAGCTGCCCCCTCGCACTGCCCCTGCGCGGTGCCTCTGCCGGAGCAGCGTGGGTGCTGCCTCTCCTGCACCGCGTTCTCCCTCCCTCCCCGTCTTTGTGCGTGTCCACCTCCCCCACCGCCCCCCTCGTCTTCTCTCCCTCCATCCCCCTCTCTTGCGCCTGCACTGCCGCGGCGGCACACCGCACCACACAGATCTGCTCTCCAGCCTCCGCACCCACCAAACTCTCTCTCATCAACCCCCCCCTACCCTACCCGACCCTCCCCCATACCGCCATGTCCGCCTACGTGTCGTCGACCCGCGTGGAGGAGCGCATCGCGAAGCGCGCGAGCCTGAACGCCGGGAGCTGCGACGTGCCCGTTGTGGTGGAGAGCGCGCAGGGCGGCAAGGCGCACTTCAGCGTGCTGCCGCGCGACGCGACGGTTGCGCAGCTGACGAGCGCGGTGCGCCGCCTCGACGGCGTCGACGCGAGGAAGGCGGTGTCGCTTGCGGTGGCGCAGTGCGCCGTTGCGCCGACGACGACGCTTGGCGAGCTGCACGACGCGTGCAAGCAGGCGGACGACGGCATGCTGTACGTCACCTACACCGCCGAGGCCGCCATGGGTGCCACCGTGAACGTGTGCGGCATGACTGCTGCCTGGTAGTGCGCCGTGGACAGTTGACGGCTGTGGAGCGCCCGTCGCAACCTAAAGCAACGCGTGCAAAGCCATCCCCTCCCGTCTCCTCGTGAGCGGCTCTCTGCGCCACCGTCATGTGTATTTCTTGTTTGCCGGATTGCCGATTTCCCTTAATGTGACGTGGTGGGGGGTGCTGCTCGTACCCACCCGCAGGCGTGTACGTAGCTGCGTTCTGAACAGAAGTGTGCACACATCTCAGCGTGCGGCCAAGCGGTGCAGCGAGGGCGTGGACAGCGGCGAGTGCGCGCAGCACGTCGTCGTAGGTGCTTGTGCACTCGCTGCCGCTGCTGCGGCCTGCCGCCACTCGCTTTGCCTTTTCTCTTGCTATTCCTTTTTTTTTGTTGTTTTCGAATCTCATTCGTCCTACTCTCTCTCTCCGCTTCGTCCGACTCTTCCCGCTTCTGCTTTTGATGGAGCCGAGCCTCCCCTTTGGTGCCCCCGGTGCGGAGCCGTGCGGTCGGTGTGTGTCACGGCGGTCGCACGCGGAGAGCGGAGCAGACGTTGCAGGAACCGTGTTTTCTCGTTTTTCTTTTCTCGCTGTGCACATGTCTTTTTGCTTTACTACGTCGCTACGTATTGTACGATGCCGCGTTGCGGCTGCGGTACTCCAACTGCATCAGTGGTGGCGACGGGACGAACTCTTCTCGTCTGTGGTGGAGCGTCTGCTCTTGCTGCTGCTGCTGCTGCTGCTGCCCGCCACTGCTTCTGCAGCACGGCGGCCAGCTGCCCCCTCGCACTGCCCCTGCGCGGTGCCTCTGCCGGAGCAGCGTGGGTGCTGCCTCTCCTGCACCGCGTTCTCCCTCCCTCCCCGTCTTTGTGCGTGTCCACCTCCCCCACCGCCCCCCTCGTCTTCTCTCCCTCCATCCCCCTCTCTTGCGCCTGCACTGCCGCGGCGGCACACCGCACCACACAGATCTGCTCTCCAGCCTCCGCACCCACCAAACTCTCTCTCATCAACCCCCCCCTACCCTACCCGACCCTCCCCCATACCGCCATGTCCGCCTACGTGTCGTCGACCCGCGTGGAGGAGCGCATCGCGAAGCGCGCGAGCCTGAACGCCGGGAGCTGCGACGTGCCCGTTGTGGTGGAGAGCGCGCAGGGCGGCAAGGCGCACTTCAGCGTGCTGCCGCGCGACGCGACGGTTGCGCAGCTGACGAGCGCGGTGCGCCGCCTCGACGGCGTCGACGCGAGGAAGGCGGTGTCGCTTGCGGTGGCGCAGTGCGCCGTTGCGCCGACGACGACGCTTGGCGAGCTGCACGACGCGTGCAAGCAGGCGGACGACGGCATGCTGTACGTCACCTACACCGCCGAGGCCGCCATGGGTGCCACCGTGAACGTGTGCGGCATGACTGCTGCCTGGTAGTGCGCCGTGGACAGTTGACGGCTGTGGAGCGCCCGTCGCAACCTAAAGCAACGCGTGCAAAGCCATCCCCTCCCGTCTCCTCGTGAGCGGCTCTCTGCGCCACCGTCATGTGTATTTCTTGTTTGCCGGATTGCCGATTTCCCTTAATGTGACGTGGTGGGGGGTGCTGCTCGTACCCACCCGCAGGCGTGTACGTAGCTGCGTTCTGAACAGAAGTGTGCACACATCTCAGCGTGCGGCCAAGCGGTGCAGCGAGGGCGTGGACAGCGGCGAGTGCGCGCAGCACGTCGTCGTAGGTGCTTGTGCACTCGCTGCCGCTGCTGCGGCCTGCCGCCACTCGCTTTGCCTTTTCTCTTGCTATTCCTTTTTTTTTGTTGTTTTCGAATCTCATTCGTCCTACTCTCTCTCTCCGCTTCGTCCGACTCTTCCCGCTTCTGCTTTTGATGGAGCCGAGCCTCCCCTTTGGTGCCCCCGGTGCGGAGCCGTGCGGTCGGTGTGTGTCACGGCGGTCGCACGCGGAGAGCGGAGCAGACGTTGCAGGAACCGTGTTTTCTCGTTTTTCTTTTCTCGCTGTGCACATGTCTTTTTGCTTTACTACGTCGCTACGTATTGTACGATGCCGCGTTGCGGCTGCGGTACTCCAACTGCATCAGTGGTGGCGACGGGACGAACTCTTCTCGTCTGTGGTGGAGCGTCTGCTCTTGCTGCTGCTGCTGCTGCTGCTGCCCGCCACTGCTTCTGCAGCACGGCGGCCAGCTGCCCCCTCGCACTGCCCCTGCGCGGTGCCTCTGCCGGAGCAGCGTGGGTGCTGCCTCTCCTGCACCGCGTTCTCCCTCCCTCCCCGTCTTTGTGCGTGTCCACCTCCCCCACCGCCCCCCTCGTCTTCTCTCCCTCCATCCCCCTCTCTTGCGCCTGCACTGCCGCGGCGGCACACCGCACCACACAGATCTGCTCTCCAGCCTCCGCACCCACCAAACTCTCTCTCATCAACCCCCCCCTACCCTACCCGACCCTCCCCCATACCGCCATGTCCGCCTACGTGTCGTCGACCCGCGTGGAGGAGCGCATCGCGAAGCGCGCGAGCCTGAACGCCGGGAGCTGCGACGTGCCCGTTGTGGTGGAGAGCGCGCAGGGCGGCAAGGCGCACTTCAGCGTGCTGCCGCGCGACGCGACGGTTGCGCAGCTGACGAGCGCGGTGCGCCGCCTCGACGGCGTCGACGCGAGGAAGGCGGTGTCGCTTGCGGTGGCGCAGTGCGCCGTTGCGCCGACGACGACGCTTGGCGAGCTGCACGACGCGTGCAAGCAGGCGGACGACGGCATGCTGTACGTCACCTACACCGCCGAGGCCGCCATGGGTGCCACCGTGAACGTGTGCGGCATGACTGCTGCCTGGTAGTGCGCCGTGGACAGTTGACGGCTGTGGAGCGCCCGTCGCAACCTAAAGCAACGCGTGCAAAGCCATCCCCTCCCGTCTCCTCGTGAGCGGCTCTCTGCGCCACCGTCATGTGTATTTCTTGTTTGCCGGATTGCCGATTTCCCTTAATGTGACGTGGTGGGGGGTGCTGCTCGTACCCACCCGCAGGCGTGTACGTAGCTGCGTTCTGAACAGAAGTGTGCACACATCTCAGCGTGCGGCCAAGCGGTGCAGCGAGGGCGTGGACAGCGGCGAGTGCGCGCAGCACGTCGTCGTAGGTGCTTGTGCACTCGCTGCCGCTGCTGCGGCCTGCCGCCACTCGCTTTGCCTTTTCTCTTGCTATTCCTTTTTTTTTGTTGTTTTCGAATCTCATTCGTCCTACTCTCTCTCTCCGCTTCGTCCGACTCTTCCCGCTTCTGCTTTTGATGGAGCCGAGCCTCCCCTTTGGTGCCCCCGGTGCGGAGCCGTGCGGTCGGTGTGTGTCACGGCGGTCGCACGCGGAGAGCGGAGCAGACGTTGCAGGAACCGTGTTTTCTCGTTTTTCTTTTCTCGCTGTGCACATGTCTTTTTGCTTTACTACGTCGCTACGTATTGTACGATGCCGCGTTGCGGCTGCGGTACTCCAACTGCATCAGTGGTGGCGACGGGACGAACTCTTCTCGTCTGTGGTGGAGCGTCTGCTCTTGCTGCTGCTGCTGCTGCTGCTGCCCGCCACTGCTTCTGCAGCACGGCGGCCAGCTGCCCCCTCGCACTGCCCCTGCGCGGTGCCTCTGCCGGAGCAGCGTGGGTGCTGCCTCTCCTGCACCGCGTTCTCCCTCCCTCCCCGTCTTTGTGCGTGTCCACCTCCCCCACCGCCCCCCTCGTCTTCTCTCCCTCCATCCCCCTCTCTTGCGCCTGCACTGCCGCGGCGGCACACCGCACCACACAGATCTGCTCTCCAGCCTCCGCACCCACCAAACTCTCTCTCATCAACCCCCCCCTACCCTACCCGACCCTCCCCCATACCGCCATGTCCGCCTACGTGTCGTCGACCCGCGTGGAGGAGCGCATCGCGAAGCGCGCGAGCCTGAACGCCGGGAGCTGCGACGTGCCCGTTGTGGTGGAGAGCGCGCAGGGCGGCAAGGCGCACTTCAGCGTGCTGCCGCGCGACGCGACGGTTGCGCAGCTGACGAGCGCGGTGCGCCGCCTCGACGGCGTCGACGCGAGGAAGGCGGTGTCGCTTGCGGTGGCGCAGTGCGCCGTTGCGCCGACGACGACGCTTGGCGAGCTGCACGACGCGTGCAAGCAGGCGGACGACGGCATGCTGTACGTCACCTACACCGCCGAGGCCGCCATGGGTGCCACCGTGAACGTGTGCGGCATGACTGCTGCCTGGTAGTGCGCCGTGGAC